TTTAGGTAAGAGTATGTTGGAACGTTGTGTTTCCTTGACTTTTTAGGCAGAATTTGATCAGGGGGAGGGGTGGGAGACTCGTCAAAATTTATGTGAATTACATCACGGGTTTGCCAGCCGTCTTTGTATTTATATGAGGCTACGTAAATGCGGAAATAGACCTCTGTTGCCAAAAGTTTCGATAAAACATGTGCTCTCACAAGTTGAAACAGTGTACTTTATTATAGTACGGATATGCGAAGAGAAAGCTCAGCATTGTGTCTCATTTCAGCTCCAAAATTTCTTCTGGTTCATTCCAAAATTCACATTTTGAATCGCATGTATCAAAATAAAAAGCAAAAACAACGAGCTACTTGTTTGCAATAAAAAAACACTCGCTACATTTACATTTAAACAACGACAAGAAATAAACATCGATGGCGTAGTCTTAAGATTTTATTTCTGGCAAAATGTTCGAACCTCATCGATATTTGTCAAGATTTACTTCCTTTCCTTTAGTCTAGAATATTCCCAACACATCTTTGAAAACCATAGGGGTAGTCTGAAGCAGGTGGTTGACGACAAAAACATTGTTATTCGCTATCAGCTCTTGAACCGTAAGTTTAGGAGGAAAGAGCTAATCGGAGAATTATTGTGAACTATTATGCGCGTGTTTAAACGTATCCAATTATTACTGTTGTAAATAGGTTGTAGTTATTAATCGTGATGAACACAGTTGTATACGATGTGAATCGAACGTGCGTGCTGCAACCCTTTTCAGGCGATAAGGTCGACTGGATACCCCTGCAGCTGAGTTCTTTGATCGTTGGAACCATGCTGTCAGATGCGATCGATCGAAACGTCGCGACCCCATCATGGAAATAACTATTTTAATTCCATACCGCTTCATAACTTTTTCCACTTTCTGCAAAACTTTGATCCGCCAAGTCTCATATAGAGGATTTTCTAATAGTAATCAAAAAGTAAATATTCGAGGACAACACCTGTTATGTTTCTTTTGCTTCATTAAAAATTCTCATTGTGACTTAATTTTGTCGGAGTGATCCAACTTGAATAATTTGCTTGACAGGGTAAATTAGCGTAATCAAATAAGTTGATAACGTAAATTGGCCACCATAAGGAGTTTAAAGACTTTAAAGGCTGACGTTTCAAGCGTTAGCCCTTCGTCAGAGCGATTGGAATTGCTCTGACGAAAGGCTAACGAAGCTCTTGAGGAAGGGCTAACTTTCGAAACGTCAGCCTTTAAACTCTTGACGTTGGCCAATTTACGTTATCAAGGTTGTTCATTACACTAAATTACCCTGTTTCATCTCCTACCGACGCAGCACAACTGTTTCTATAGAAACGTACCCCATTATAAATTTGCATGACGGTCAACTTCCCACATCATTTTCCAGAAGTAAACGGCTGGTCGTGCCTCAAAACATCACTAAGTGATTAGGCTTAAATATCCTTCAGGGAAGAGAGTTCTCACAAGCCTTGCAGTTCTATTGCAGTTATACGGATATTTTGGACTTGTCTATCGTCACTGAAAATTAGCCAGAAGTTTGCGTTTGATTCAGCTGACAGAAACTCGACCCAAACAACCAAAAAAATGATGACCAGAAGTTGCCAGTTATGAGGAACACTCTTGAGTGAGTAAAGTCCTTTCTAAAAGATTAATTTTATTTGATATGTCTCACAAGAATACTACGAGAAGTCGAGCCTATGGCGTCATCCTGGATGACTTTAAATTAGTTTGTCCTTTTTATGCAGCTGACCACACAGGCTTTCTTCAGGAAGCCAAGTCAAATTGGTTCAAGGGATATACTTCAAGAAGCCAGTTTAGCAATGCATTACTGAGCTAAATACTTTAAGCCTATTTTAGCTCACGACTCTGTCATGGAAGAGTGAAGCTCGCGTGCCCGATATTTCTTTCAAAACATAATTCACTGATGTCAGGACCTCCTTTTTTTAAATTATTCATACGCTTTTGAGAGAAGTTTTGCACCCGCTAGTTTGATAATGTTGGACTATACACTAGCTCACACTAGATTTTACTCTTGAGCACGCTACGTTTTGTCACGAGCCATGATTTTTAGGTCCCATCAGTGATTGCACTGAAGAGTAAGAAAAGAAAAAAACAAAATATTTACGGCAGAAAGTCTGCCGGTGGCAGTAAAACTTATTAGATGAAGCATCCTGTTACATAGTGACACCACTTACGCACATTCTGGCCTGTACAAAGTTCCAATTTCAATGCAGGCTTAACTTAGTTTCAAAGTTATTTCTTTCCCAACGATCAATTTTTCGATCTTGAAAAGAAAAGGAAGACTGCGATAATCACTTAGGCAAGTTCATAGCATTGGAGAAGTACCGTATGGTTCTGTCATCATCATGATAGGGTAGAGCTAAACTAACAATATCATATTGGGAAATTTTTATAAGCGTCGTCAGGGGCGGCGAGCCGTGTGCTACTTTAAAAGTATAGCGTGAATGTTTGAATCAGCAGAAAGAGCTGCTAATACATTAGGGAATGATTCTTAAAGAATTCAGTTACTTTATTAATTATTTAAATGTTTGTTTCCAGTTTGCATGCATTGAGACGACGACCGTTCTTTGTACTTAATAAAAACTATTTTTGCCACTGAGGAATTGCATTTAAAAAGCTTTGACACTACTTTTTGGAAAACTAAGCAAAATTTTTTATTTAATCATAGACGAACGCGCTATGTAACTGTTTTTTGTGTCCGTGTCTTATCGACCCGTGTCATCTAATGCACGCCTTTTCACATCAAACTTGAAATTTGTCGTATGCGTGTCATATAGCTCGTCATGTGTGAGCGATATGTCATACTGATTGAAACAAAGCCAAACAATAAGTGGCTCTGCAATTATCGCATTCTCTGTTTTTCTGTGGATGGCCACATATTGTATCACTGTGCTCTCAAAATTTCAACCCTAATTAGGATGCTAATAAGCTTCACCGGCACCCGCTGGTTTGATAATGTTGGACAGTAAATGAAAACTTAAACTTACCTTATCTCTTAAACTCGCTTCTTTCTGAGATCAGCCATGGTTTTTAGGTCCCAGCAGTGACTGCACTGAAGAGCAAGAAAACAATCTAAACAATAAAGACAGAACTGTCAAGAAAAGTGATTGCAAAGAAGTGCCTCTTGTCAAAGTGAAAAAAAACAGATCCAAATTTAGAGACAGAAAACTTATGTGAGGTCTCACATTTTGATATAAAAATGAATATAAGAGGTCAATAGCGCATAAACAAATATGAGGAATCAAGAGAAAGAGCAGCAATCATACTATAAAATGCTTTTTAGATCGGGTTGGACGGGATATTATCTAGCTTTCGTTCATGACGTAAGGACCAAATGCGTTCAGCCTTAATGTCATGACTTAGCGAAAAATACGTTCACCGCAGTTCTGCCCTATTCGAACAAGAACAATATCACATTGTGTCGAACGAACGAGAATAAGAAATGAGTTTTGAAAAGCCAAATAATTCTGAAAAAAATGTTTTTATTAGATAAAACGAAGAGTTTCGCTGCCATTTACTTACATTATAACAACAATGTCGTATTTTGAATGTCCAAGAAAATGGAAATTCTGCGTGGATCTCAGCCAAAACGCTTTCAAACAAAGTCTGCAGGTGGTATTAAAAGAAGTTTTAAAAATAGCATGGTATTTCATAGTTTTATCCTTTAAAATATGTTGTGGTCTGTAATGTTCCTCTTTCAATGCAAGTCAAGTTCAATTTAAAGTCAATTTGTTTCCAAAGAACTCTTTGTCGATTTTGAAAAGTGAAGGAAGACTGCGATACTCACTCAGGCAGGTTTATAGCATAGGAGAAGTACTCTATGGTTCTGTTATCATCCTTATAGGATAGAGCTAAACCAAACATATAATTTTTGGAAATTTTTTAATACGCGTTGTCAGGGGCGGTGAACTATGTGCTATTTTAAAAGTATAGCACGAATGTTTGGATCAGGAGAAAGAGCGGCTAATAAGTTAGAGAATGGGTTTTAAAGGAGTCTGTTACTTTATATTTAGATGTTTTTTTATTGCATGCATTGGGTGTACGACCGTTCACTGTACTGAGCAAAAACTGTCTCTGCCATTCAATAATTGCATTCAAAAAGCTTTGACAACTTTTATTGAAAGAAAATAAATAAAACTTTTGATTAAGCCATAGACGAATGCGGAATGGGACTGTTTTAGTATCCGTGTCTTATCGACTCGTGCCATATCTCACGCTTGCCCTTTCAAAGAAAGCTTTAAATTTGTCGTATGCATGACATGCGTGTGGGCGATACGTCATATCGCTTGAAAAACAGCCAAACAATAAGTGCCTCTGCAGGTATTGTATTCCCTGTTTTTCAGTGCACGGCCACATATTTTTATCACTGTGCTCTCAAACTTCATGATTTCATTTCAGGTGAGATTATATAACCACAATGGGAGTCCAAGAGTTCTTTCATTTACCAGTTTTCCTCTCTATGTTGGTATCGTTTGACTCAGTTGTTACTCAGTGCCACCGTAATACACGCGAAGTCTCTATCCTTGGTAAGATGCTTCAAAAACACATTTTTAAAACAATCACTGGAGCAGCATTCGGTGATGTGTGTTTGCGGGAGTGTTATCGTGACGTCAGATGCCAAAGCTTTAACTATGTGTTCACCCAAAACAAGTGTGAACTGAGTAACCGCACAAAGGAAGCCAGGCCTGAAGATTTTGTACCCAACTCTGAGAGATATTACTTCAGACGAGATAGGAAGAGAGGTGAGCATTAAGGCAAAATGATTCAGCTAACTGTTTAAGAGGGGGAGATATCACGTTTTTTCTTCACTTTCTCCTTTTCTTATTTTCTAGCTATTCTCGGTGCCATTCCCGAGCTGTCTGCAGACTCGTGCAAGGAAATCAAGGCGAGTGAAGGTGGACAAGCGGTCAGCGGAAAATACTAGCTGAATTTTATCAAACCTGACACTCCTGTGTTGGCTCATTGTGACATGAAAACCGAAGGTAGAGTAAGACAGTTAAACAGGATGGATATGCTCTAAAAAAGTATTGTACCTTGCACAAAAGCTAACGGTCAGCTTTGTGCCAGGTACAATCCTTTTTCGTTGTTGATCCTAAGTCAAAGAATTATTAGAATTGTTCGAAAAATGTTTAAAATTTGTTCCTTGGAAACTAGTTATGAAGCAGCAAGGAATTTTTGTGTCAGCCCTTACAAAGCAGATGACTGGCTCTTAATCTAGCAGCAGAAAACTAAAATCAACTTAAGTCGCATCACCCACGGATAAGTGCCTGCGCATTTAGAAACATGGCGCATTTTTTTCCAATCTTATCTTTTATCTTATCTATATATTTCGTATCTCAACCATTTAGACTATAGATGACAGAAAGAATTGCGTATTCGTAGGAATATATTTTTTTCGAAGTAGGGTTTGATAAATCTTGACTCATTTGCATCCTACTAAGTAAGGTGAACTCGTTGTTTATGCCTCGCTTTAATTCCCAACACCAAGCAACGATTCAATATGTTATTGGAATGATAAACATAGAAACTCTTGGAGAGCCTGCTCGATAAAATTGTTTGACCCACACTTGGGTTTTTTTAAACGGTGAATAACTTGATTGAAGAGGAACTGAACAATAGTTTGCTTAAAATTGTGCATCATGATCAATTTATATTGTCGCTCTAAACGATTTGGATATTCATTAACAGATTCTGACGAATGCAATGCCTCCGTTAGCGTTTGTGATGTGAACGCTGACTGCAAAAACACTCTGGGATCGTATCGCTGCTCTTGCAGAGCCGGTTTTTCTGGAGATGGACATACTTGCAGAGGTGGGAAGAAATTTAATCAGAAAACGCACAGTTTTCTTGAAGCCATGCCGTTGCAAGGAATTAATTCTTTGAGCTTTCTTTGACTATTTCTTCATTAGGTCTAAAATTGTTTCCCGTCAACAATTTATTCTTGATCTAATTTAAAAGTTTGGTGCAAATGTTTTGAAATCTTTGTATCGTTTTCTTTCGATCAGATAATCTTTAATTTTATCTTACTGCAAAGAGTTTATTATGCGTATCAGCGATACGGCGGAACTTCCATGATAAACCCTAGACATCTTAGACCTCAATTTCCAGGTGTTAACCCTATCCTCAATAGTTTTTGTATAGTGTGTTCGTTGTTCAACTGAAAGTGATAAAATGCTGGGGAAAAGAAACAACTACCTCAAGATAAAGGCCGCAGAATTTGCGTAAAAGGCAGAAAAAGCCGATTGCCAGAGCATTTTAGGCTCTTATCAGTGTTCTCGCAGACCTGGATTTTTTGGCATTGGTACAACTTGTTACCGACATTTGGGTTTGGATATTTGGATATTTGGGTTTTTAAGACAGATTAACTAACTTGTTATTTTCAACGCTTCAAATTCGATTCACGTTTTTTGTGGACATTCCCCCTAAAATTTCACAGATATCATGTTCAGGAGTAAATACTTTTTTTTTTTTTAAAGGTGCTGTGAATCTCAAAACCGATGGGAGAAGGGGACGCTTTGGAACTATACAGACGTTCATTGTTCCACGGACCACCCGCTATCTCATCAAAGCCTGGGGCGCTCGGGGAGGAACACATTCATACGATTATGGAGACAATCCAGGAACATATTATGGTGGAAAGGGAGCATTTAAAGAAGGGAAGTTCAGACTGAATAAAGGAACAGTGTTAAATATTGTGGTGGGACAAAGAGGAGGAGATTCAGTGGAGGTTAAAGGTGGACAAAGCACTAGCAAAACAGCAGCTCAACTAGGAGTGTCCGTGGAAGACAATGCTGGCACTGGAGGAGGGGGAGGAAGTTTTGTTTATACTACAGCTGATGTTCTGTTGCTGGCTGCCGGAGGAGGAGGGGGTGCGTCTGGCGGATATAATGGTGTGGATGGTCAGGCGGAATCAAATGGCACCAGTAGTGTAGGGCAGGTTTCGTCACAAGTTCGAAATGGAGGCATAGGTGGGCAGCCAGGTGAATGCAACAGTGAGGGCGGTTACCACCATGGAGGAGTGGGAGCGGGTTGGTTTGGTCAAGGTTGTACCCGGCTAAGTTCCTCCCATGGGGAAAGAGGTGGGTCACGTGCGCAAGCGTGGATCGGAGGTCAAGCCGGAGATATGAATAGCGGTAATAACGGGGGCCCTGCACCAGGAGCAGTTGGTGGGTTTGGTGGTGGGGGAGGTGGAGCAGAGGATAATGGTGCATCAGGTGGAGGTGGTGGCTACTCTGGGGGGGTAGTGGTACCCGTTGGCAACAAGCCGGAGGTGGAGGAGGCTCGTACTGTAATGGCGAAGATTGTTCCGGTTTGGCTGGTGGGAATTCGAATGATGATGGCCTTGTGCAAATTATGGAATTGTTCGGCTGATTCCAAAACATTTTCTTGAGTTTTACAGTAATTTTTTCAAAATGGATTTCTGTATTATTAGTAGTTGTGGTGGTAATTGCAGACGTTTTATATACATTTAAATCCCTTGTTCCTTTTTCAACAAGGGAGATGATAAGAATCCTCTTCTTCTGGCTACCTATTAAAAATTGCACCGTCTAGGATTATAATATTCAACACGCTTAAGCTTAAAATTCTGAGATTTGTTGACACTTTTTGAAATTTAACTTGTAAGAGTGTGGTCAAAAACCGTTATAAGGTTAAAAATTTGAAGGGAACTGTCCAATGATTTCCATCTATTAAGTATCCTATTATAGAAAGTCTTTTAAATAGTAAACTCTTCAGAACTGGTCCCGAGAAAAACAAAAAGAACGCTTCACAGTAGGCACAGTCTTCTAATAATTTATTGTATAGCAAAATGAATAAATTAGAGGGGGCGATGCAGAAACAAATCGAACATTTTGATGACCTCCTTTAAAGTGTGTAAGAGAGCAAAATATCACAAAACCATAATATCATTCCGGTTTAACGTTACTCTCAGTCAAGCCATGTTCACGTGTAATAGTGGTCGGTCATAAACACGAGCGGGAAACGTCCCATTGCTACCTACTGATGTCAAAGATTTTGTAATGTTGTCCACTCAGATCAGAAACTTTACACAGACAACAGTTTTATTGTTGGATGTAATGTTACCCCAAAGTAACCAATGATAGTGACCGCTGTTAAGAAAAAATTCCAGTTGTATAACAGGATCAGTTTTTGATACATGAGATTGATTGTAAGGTTACCAGTCGTTTCGTACCTTCGGTCGTTTCGTACCCAGCTAAAACGTTTCGTACCCAAACAGTTGAGTCAACTCGTACCCAAACAATTAAGTCGTTTCGTACCCAGCACGGTCGTTTCGAGATGTGAAACTTTCATCAAGTAACTTGTTTAAGTTCGCCTCTTCCCCTGTTTACACAATTTTCAAAGCTGAGTCTCTGAATGAGTCAATTGATTTCAGCTTCCTTGTGTTTTGCCCCATTTTCTCCATGTTAAAAATTCGTTTCGGGCATAAGAGACTAATGGACATCAATTGATTCATCAATATCTTTCTTTTATTATTATTATTATTATTATTATTATCATTGTTATTATTATCTCTTCCATCACAGTCTTTGCTGGTGTTCTTTTTGTACATCCGCTGGGCGCAGACCATGCACCTAGGGCATCAGTCACTCAAGTCAATCATTCTGTTCGTACGCTAAGCACCTTTCTGAGGATTTGCATAGATCCCAGAATGCAGATCTTTTGAATCTGTGTCACATTAGCTTCTTCTGATACTTTCGTTATGTTTTCCACCATACACTTCTTTACTGTACCAAGCGCACCAACAACCAGAAGGAGCACTATGGTTTTCATACGACACATGTTCTGTATTTCTAGTTCTAGGTCTTTGTACTTGCTGTTCTTTTCCATTTCCTTCAGAACGATGGAACAGTCATATCAATCAGTTTGCAGTTGAACTCGCCGAATATTTAAGAGAGGTTGTCAGTAATTTTCGAGAATCCGGCGACAGAAGCAAAAATTCAACTTTGTTTTTATTTTCTCAAAAAGACCCTTTTGGTGAATCGTTTACAAAAATAATATTCAAAAGTTCCAGCGAGTTTTTATTTTTGAAAAAAATATGAAAGTTCGAAATCGGCCAAAACGTACCTAATTTGCATAATTTCTATTGGGCTTTTAGTGCATTTTCACAACGCTCGTACAAGACAGCGAAAAATTGTCTTGGATTCATTTTTTCATAAGTTGTTTTTCATCCCTCGGAGTAGCTTTGCAACTATATTTCATCTCTAACTGAACTTTCTTTCGTTTGTAGCCACCAGCGTAAAGTACACTATATTTTCTATTCCGTTTGTACGCTGAATTTTGCTATATTTCAGACGACCATAACATCGGGGGTATACAAATTTACATAAAATAAAAGAGCTCCTTTCAACGAAAAATTCTTCGTGTTTATCATGGAAAAATATTGCTTTTGGCCCGTGAAAAGCGAGCGCGCCAGACCAAAATATATAGCGTGCAGTTTCACGGAGTTAGGCCATTTTCCTTGCTGTACTCCTACTGCGAATCGCACGCTATTGGGACAAAACTCGACGTGTTTGGTCTCTACTTCAGTTTTGATTCATTTAAATATATCGATTTTAACTTAAAAATTAACCTTCATTTATTGTTAAGTGAACAAACCACCGTTTTAGGTAAAGTTTTTGAGTTGACTTTTCTCGAGTGCTAAATAAACAAATCGCTGTTTACAAAGATACCAGCTCTGTCGACGTGTTTTTAGCTGAAACATCGATGGGAAAATCGTAGCGTTTCTTTCTCCTGTCTTTTATTATTTTAAAGATTGGCTAAAATCAGGAAATAGGGCACTTGTACAAAACCAAAACATTCATTAGTCTACAATTGGATTGTTTATTATCATTATCGCACAGCTCACAATAAGGAAACTGTAACAGGAGAGGAGATTTTAAATTCAGATGCCGCGTGCTTGTTGACGTACAAGTTCCCAAGTGTAACAATTTCGGGAAACTCTGCTTCTCTTATATGATAGGAAATATCAATAACCCCATAAAATTCATCAACTGCGCCATGTTTCCAGAAAATAAGACTGGAAAATGGTTTTTCCACTTTCCACCATCAAGAAATTCCACGTACAAATAGTATTTGTAGCGTGACTGCGTGACCTTTCATGAGAAGTAAAAATTGTTTTTGCTTTTTTTTAAGAAGACACCTCCAGAAAGTTCTTTATCCTCCTGTCATCTTATTTGCCTGTTTTTTGACTGCAAATATCATCTGCATTTGCCATTATTTTCGCTGATTGTCCTGCGTGCACGTGCGAGCAATTCAAGTTCATATACAGCACTCTTTCGAGTTTCTTTGCGTGGTGTCGGGCATAAGTGTTTAGGTCTGGCTCAAAAGATATCTGCGCGCTGCAACACGGGTTTCTATGTTTTCTCCTTTTTCTTTATTTGTATTTTTATTCTCCTCCTTGCATTATCACACATGTATGTTTTTTTTTTATTCTCTCGGCGCGTTCCCTCAGATTTGGAAGTAGGCTATGAAAAGTCAATATTGACCAGAACTGAAACCTTTTCTATCACTATTTGTTTCAAAGAACCCCTGTTATTTATAACTTTATTTCTCAAGAGAGTATGTTTTTATTTGCCATTTACTTCCATTAGTGCATGAAACTAGGTCCCGATAAGTTTTTTTGTTTCGTGACTCCCAAAAGCTGTTTGCGACAACATCAGTTGAGAAATCAAAAGCAATTACACCCGAGAAATTCGCCTGTAGCCTTCTACGCGCAGAATGCAAATCCTCTGTAAACTAGAGACATTACGTGACGTCGAGGGGTCAAATATTTACACTAAATATGTGACCCTCAAACAGATTACATACTCGTACATGTAACGTCCGAAAAATGTCACGCATGTATAACACCGTAGGCGCACCTGGCGAATTATATCCACTGGCTTCAATAGTAAAGAGACAACTTATTTACTATTTGTATTTGAGCAAGCTTATTTACCCTACTTGTAAAACTCCTTAATGAAGTCTACTATTGTCAGACGAAATGCGTGGGAGAAGCTCACCCTGTCATAATCAATGATTTGATACCGTAAGTACCAATTTAGGTACATCATTGGGCTTTGATCACAATAATGAAAAAAATGTGCGTTTCCCCACGCTTGCCACATTTATTCTTTGGAAAATTATTTTACTGGAGGGCGATGTCACTAAGCTTGGTGCGTCTTGACTCTGGCCGACGAAAATTATCGAGGTGAACCCCATGAAATTCTTGTCAAATGTTTTATAAACTTTGTCTACCCTTGATTTGCACGCAATAAAAGGCAAATTCCGAACGATATTTCAAAATATTTTATTCACTGGTCAATTTATGACCTGTTTTATAATATCTCATTTTTCCCAGTAAATTTAAGAGAGGGTCAATTTTTTGTGGCAGCCAAAGATAGATATCTCTGAAAAGTCTCTGAAACTCTTAAAGAATTTACACTGCCGGTAATATTTTCATCCTTCTCGCAACAGCGCAACAGACATTGTCAATCCTTTGTAGTGTAGGTGTATCAGTTGTATTACGTCTTCATAGTGATGCCGTATAAGAAATCGAGTGTCTAAAAAGCTCTCAATTCTCGCGCTGGCCAGGGACGGCAACAGCTCACAACTCTAAACTCGTGGGTGTACAGCATAAAAAAATAAAAAATAAAAACATTTGATAGACGTCAATGTATCCCAAACATGCGTTTCGTCCGAGAAGAAGCTTATTCTAGCGCGTATTGGCTTATTTGGAGATTACGAAGGCCGCGATTTCACGATATGCCTCAAATATCGTGCACAACTTGGTATGAGATTCATGCCAGTATCTTCATCATAAAAATCGGACACGTAAAGTTGAGAGAGAGGTGAATCTGAAGATGGCGGAAGAAATCAAAGCTGGTGGCGAGTCTTCCTGGTGGCAAGGTGACTGTAAACCTAATAGAACGCGTACTGTAACCGCTATCTTAGAGTCAGCAATGAATAAGGAAGAAGGGCAAGAAGAACGCTTATCTGAACATCAGTTTTCCTAACTAATGATTTGAGACTGAAATAAACTTTATATCATATGATTGCTAGGGATACGCAGGTACTGTAGAGACGCTCACATAAATAGAGGTGGGCGACCCTCCCTCTGACTTTAGAACTGCGACAAGTTTATAGCGCAGACCAACTGGCACAGTTTTGAGCACCTCAGGGTCTCACTAGGCTCATCGCATAAGAAACCTTCAGCAAACTAATCGTAGAAGTGGGTGGTTATCAGCAACGTGGACGGATCCCCGAACGCGGGTCATCGTGAGAACTATATCCAATCCATCACGGACAGAACAAGAAAGCGAGACGTTCTTGCTAAGAGGAAGGATGTATCAAGACATTTCAATCATCGGCTGCCATTCAAAAGCACCCTAA